GTTGGTTGGTTGGTTGGTTGGTTGGTTGGTTGGTTGGTTGGTTGGTTTTCGAGGCTGGGTCTTGCTCTAGAGCCCAGATTGACGTCAAACTGGTAAATGGAGTCACCAAGAGGGCAGCAGAAATCTGGAACTTTCACTCTCCGACATGTAGGCACAGGATACATTCGTTTACTTAATCCTATGTTCTAAGTGCAAAACATAATTTTTACAGGGAATATCAGTAAAACCAAAACTACCTTTCCCTCAGAGTTGCCCTTTCTAGATTTAAAAAATGCCCACTATAAGATAACAGTTTTAAGTTTTGTTTATGTTACAGATTTAGTACTTTCTGTGCATTTATTAGTCTATTTTTATAAACTTAATTATTTTAAAAAGTTTTTCAAATACATAATAACGTTACACAGCAAAATTAACCAGATCCAAAGTCTATACAACTTAATGAACTCATATACAGTTAGAATTAGCACTCTAAATAGAAGCTATGAAGCTGCACATTAGATTTTACACTTTCAGTATTGAATATATTTTATGTGTTTAGCCACCACCAAAAACAAAACAGAAAATCCATGATAAAATTATAACTGGAAAATATTAGTCTCTCATAACTTCCATCCATTACCTGCATTCAGTTCTTCATCCCCTTATATGTACTGTTCTCTTTTCTTCATGTTGTACCGTACACTTGTTTTCATATGTACATGTATTAATCCTGCACTGATAAATGCTGTTTGGAGCTCTCGTCTTCTCTGTGGTCTGTTGGAGATCCTCTGTTTTCTGTCTTCTTTCCTCCATATTTAACAGTAACAACAGCTCAAATCTGTCAAATTTGCCTCTCTGGAAGGAATGAGCGGAAAACTACTTTGTTCTGCACACACACGAGTCCTTCCAGCCTCTAGCAATGGGCCCGAATGTCATTTGTTCCCTTTAATGTTCAAAGTTACACTGAAAACGTTTGGCTTCTCAGAGTGTCTTTGACCACAAATACAAGAGAATTCAGAAAAAAATCCAGTTAAAGTCAGTGGCAGCTCATCTGAGCAAAAAGAAGAACAGAAAGCAACAGACTGCGGGATGAGACTGTTCAGTGTCTCAATCCAAATGCCCTAATCTGCGGCACTAAGAAGATAGAAACAGCTTTGCTGTGCCGACTTGCCAGGCCTTATGCTCTAAGTCTCTATAAACCAGGTCAAGATTTCTAAGCCTTCTACGAAATTTAACCAAACCTACTTGTTCCTGAGAAATGAGCCAAGATTTACTGTTGCTGTACAAAAAAGATTTTGTTGTTCGATATTATTTAATAATTTGTTCAAGGTTGAAACTTCCAAACTCAGATTACCTGAGGCTAATCAATGATTCTATGTATGATATGCATGAGCCTAATTTGCAAATATGAAACTGATTATATATTAATTTGCATCCTTATAATTGTATGGCTGTATTACTATCACTGTTAACTAATTAAAATATTTCCCAGTATCAATTTTTACTGATAAAACTACCAAAAAGTCTCTTGGGGGACAAATCTTTGTTTTGGTTTCACAGTAACATATTCATGTGGTGACAAATGTAGTCCTGGCTCATAATCTTAGAAGAATGTGTTCACCCCAGGTTGTTTTCTGGTGCTAAGGAGCCAGGAAGTGCTATATGTGAAGCCACGGGCCGGAAAAATAAAGAATTTGCACATTCTTCTATCACTCTCATGGCACACTGTAACATCTTCTTTAGTCGTTCAGATTTTTAGCCCACCAGTCATATCAATACGCATTTTAGAAGCAGCAGACTCTTAACAAGGAACAAGATATGATCATGATCTAAGATAGACCAGTAAGGGCCATTCCTAGCTCAGAGCTACTGTAACTAACACGTCCACACATGGTAGAGCCACCACATAAATACCGGTTTTCTATGTATCATTATAACAAGGATATTGCCTAGATCCATGAGTCCTTCTCAGCAGCCACCCTAACGGGCTAAAACAAAACTCTATCAGGGAAAGGAACTTGGTTCTAATTGCTGACCACACTCCACTCAGAATCTCGAAATAAAAGGGAATATAAGATGCTGCCGAATCCTAAATTAGTCATCACAAAGATGCTATTCCATGAGAAAACGAGGAGAGGTATGTAACTAAAGTCTCCACCTCAGCCGGCTACAGCTCTCTCTCAGGAAGCATGTCCAGTGCCTTGGCCCCAGGCCCACTTCAGCACATCCTCTGGTATTTCTTGAGGCTCTTCTTTCCCAAGAACACAAAGATCTCTTGAAAGATACCTCAACTGGGACAGACTGTAAAATGTGGAATGGAAAAGAGAAATAGAAGCAATTTTCTTACAACCAAACCAAAGCAGCTATGTCTCTGCCTTTGGGCTGAGATGTAGAATGGTATCTGTTTTACAGAAAATCACAACTTGGAAGATCCAAGAGTTCTCATAGAGGGTCAGCTATGGAGCTCAGTGAAAGTAACAGAGTAATTTTTAATGAAAAAAAAAAGTTTCGCTGAAAAACAGAGAAAATTAAAAAAAAATGGTTTAAATCCAGTTACCTTGTACCAGATTTGGCCCATTAGGAAAAAAAAGAACAAAAAACCAAAACCACCAGTCCCTCCTCCCTGGAGGGCCTGGGGAACACAGGCCTGCGGGCACAGGAATGACAGTATGGGGCAGGTGTTTCTTCTTGTTTAGGAGTGCAGCAGCATGGTTTCCAAGAGAGCCAACAGCAGTCAGCATTTAACCTTGATATGCTGTTTAATTGCATATTTTAACACACTGAACTGTGAAGTCAATTTAATTATGTAAAATTAAAGTTTCACCCAGATAAAAAGGATTGGAAATGAAAGCTTCAATTTCAATATCTTTCATTAACTGTGAAAGGATAAATAATTACATTTTCCAGAGCTCCTTTGCCACAAATATCTCTTTCCTTGTCAGACATCATTTATAAAGAGGTTTGCTTCTACATGTGTGAGTGTGTGGTCTTTGGAATCACTTATCAGATAATTGGGTCCTCTCAGGAGCAGCTTTAAAGTCACTTTGTCTTTAAGCACTTAAACTGCAAATGAGGAAACTTGATCCAGAGGTGACTCGGGCTACTGTTTATTATTAAGTGGTTTAAGGACTTTTTAATGCTATCATAGGGGAGGGAGAATAAATTCATCTTACTTACCTAATTGAGAAATCTCTTTGGATTTTTTTATTTTAGATGCCATATCCTATTATGACCACACACAGTCAGTGGCAGTGTGGCGCAGCATAGACGGAGCCTGCCCATAGCTTCAGGTTGCCCAGCAGTTCTGCTATTCCTGACACTAGCTGAGACCAACACCTTCACAGTTCCACAGCTAACCCTCCTCTCCTAGTCTCTAAAATGCAGTGCTTAAACAAATAGCATCTGAGGTTCTTTCCAGGACCCAGATCTGAGGGTGGTGAGGGCTCTTGTCCTCCCAGCCATGGACACATTAGAAACTTTCTGGAGCTTGTTGGCAGGCAGGGGTGTCTAGGAAAAGGAAAATTCGGAGGTCACGGGATGAGGCTCTGCGACACTTTGAGTCTTCTTTTCTCTCTCTATTGTGTGCCCTCCTCATGATCCACTGACCACTGCACATTCATACCGGCGTGAAAAGAGTGAGTCAGAGTTAACAGACTGTGGTACGTGTCAGCTGCTCCTTCATGCCTAACTAAATTCCAAAACCATGTGGACACCACCATGGTGACTTGAGTGTCAGGACAGATACTTTGTTTCTGGTCTCAGTGCCAGCAGATGCCTTGGTCCCATCCCTGAGCACCTCAGAGCCTCAGCTTCATCTCTGTATAACGGGAACAACAGTACCCAGTCTAGCTCTCAGGCTAACTGAAAGAGTTCAACCATAGCATGAGGGCGGAAGCTATTTATCCACAGCGGGGCTGCCGTAGGCTTTAGTATGACTAAACATCTGCCATGTGAAAGTTGATTTGACCCTTGAAA